AGAAAAAGCACCTTCTTCGGTTTATTTGATTTTCGATCATTAAGAAGACAGCAAATACTTATCTTGCTATTATGTATTCGAGGTTTTCTCGGTATTGCTGTTCTTGAAGATGTAGATATGATAAATTAGTCAAATATTTGTTCTTTAACTTAATATCTACTGGAATCTTAAATACTATTGTAATATTGTTTATTAATCTAACGTAAAAGCGAACGCGTCCGACCCAACCGGTGGCACCCGCCATTAACAAATGCAAAGGTAAGATAGTTGTTGAAAACATAATCGGGAACGTATGGCTCACGTCAAAATAGTGAATGGCATCGGACATCTCTTTTGTTAGTGATGAGTCAATTTTGGGAGTGTATACCACATGTTTTCAATGGAACTTTTGGAAAGCTTTTTATTGAAGGCTTGAATGTTCGAAGCTTGAAAAAAATCTACTGAGCAAAAGTCACATGAAGCTTTCCATCTCCTCGGCAATATCAAGCTGTAAGCGGTGCTGGAATTTAGATTAGAAAGTTGGATTACAGCCCATCTGCAGTCAAATCAAGGAAACAAGCCAAAGGTACATCCCTCAGATAGCGCTAATTAATCTCTCCCGCAATGATGCAGCGATGGCATACACTTTGATGGGTCAACTGGAAATATGGGGTGAATTGGAAATCATAGAAAACCATATTCAGCCAACAAATGTTTCAGGTTGTCCTCAGCAGCGTTAAGCGTATTCCTTTATGTAATCACTTGCATTTCAAATAATGTAGTGCTGAGAAGCTCAATTCCCCACTGGGAGTCCCTATCGTAAAGAAGAGAGTTTATAAGATTTGTCCAAGGGACGTACATGTATGAGTTTCTACCTTTTATTTTGTTTCAGTTAATCTGTTAGTATTAAGAAAGAAATTGCTTGACTTTTGGAAAGGAATTGGAGCAATGGACCTTCAGTGTGTTTGAACACCAAAGAATAAATGACCTCAACCAAGAAGGATTCTTTTTCTTTATTTTCACACATACAGCATTAACATTATTTTGGGTACAAGATGAGTGAAGTTAAAAGAATAAGAAAGCCAACTGAAAAAGGTCAGCCCTATTTGGTTGATATGAGGCAGAAGAAAATGAGCAGCATTTTTAGAAGTTTAAGAAAGAAATTTGACAAGATAACTAAGACAATTGAGAACAGCATCATTGACAAAGAGACTATAGAGAATGTTAGAGCTATGTACAAGGAATGGCTGGACAGTTACGATGAATTATTTCAACTTCGTATAGAGCTTGTTGGTCTGCTTGAAAAGCAGATTGACATAGAGCATTTCGAGAGAGAGGGTGCCGCTCAAGATATGGAATTAAGGGTGATGAAATTCGACATAGATAAATTCTTCCTAAAACATGAAAGTCAACTAAAAGCTGACAGGCAAGAACTTTTGACTACCAGAAGTATAGCCAATGAATCGGACCACAGCTCAAGTCGATCCAGTACAGTCTCGTCCGCCCGTCTCAAGGAAAGACAAACAACAGCAGAATTAAGTGCAAAGCGACAGGCCCTAGAGAGTAAGCGAAGATTAGAGCTTGAAAAATTAGAATTGAAAATGAAGGAAGATGAGCTTGAACTTGACACCCTCTTGAAGATTTCAGAAGCCCGCTTACATGCTATCGACGAGTTCGATGAAGAACAACAGCCCCTGAGTTCAACCCCTTTTGCACAAAGAAATACTTCAGGCAGATTTAATGAAGAACAACAGCCCCTGAGTTCAACCCCTTTTGCACAAAGAAATACTTCAGACAGATTTAATGAAGAACAACAGCCCCTCAGTTCAACTCCCTTCTCACAGAGAAAGGCTGCCAACAGGTTTGATAAAGAGCAACTGCACAGTTCCACTCCAATTGTGCCAAGAAATGTTCGTATTCGGGAAGAGGAAGATTTTGTTCATCGACAGAGGAGACCACTAAGAGAACTACAGCCCCCTGACAGAGTAGAGGCTGTTGTGAGACAACTAAGGAGACCAGTACCAGAGATAAAGAAATTTGCAGGAAATCCCACTGAGTATACAAGGTTCATGCGGCAGTTCAGGGTAAAGATTATCGCCAACACAGAGACGGACGATGAACGGCTTAGTTATCTAGAACAGTTCACCACAGGGGAAGCCAACCAGATAGTATCCGGTTACAGCTACCTAGATGCCGAGACTGGCTATCAAGCTGCTTTGAAGGAGTTAGAAGAGAGATATGGTGATGACCAATTAATTGCACAATCATTCATTAAGAGAGCACTAAACTGGCCCAACTTAAGACCTGAGGACACGAAAGCCCTTGACCAATATGCTATCTTCCTGTCAGAATGTCAGCATGCAGTAGCGAGTATTCAAGCTGTAAAAGTCTTTGAGTATCCAGACAATGTAAGAAAATTGGTTGCCAAGTTGCCCTTTTATCTACATGACAAGTGGAGGAATGAAGTTTTGAAATGCCGGACCCATCATGAGAATGTTACATTCAGCCAGTTTGTCGACTTCGTGAAAAGAGAGGCAAAGAAAGTTAATGACCCTATTTTTGGACGAGAAGCGATGAAGCCAGATCAGAAAGTGAATAAATGTAAATTCTCCATCGCTAACAGAGGCTAAACCAGCAATGCTGCAGGAATCACAAGTTCAAGATATGAGAAAAGAGACCAACCAAGTTTACCCATGTACCCTGCAGCTAAGCCCACATTAACTCATCACTCTGAGAGACAGTTTCCAAAGAAAACGTTATGCACATACTGCAGTGGTATACACCTCCTTCAGGATTGCCAGAAAATTATGTCACTGCAACACATGGACAAGATTGAGTTCCTAAAATCAAAAGGGATATGCTTCAGGTGCCTCAAGTATGGACACATCAGCTCTGAGTGTAATGAAGAAACCAAATGTCGTATCTGCGGCCTTCATCATCAGACGATACTTCACTTTCGAGGAGGACAGCAGTCAATGAAAAAGAGACTGGATGGACAAGGCCTGGAATCTCCAACATGTCATCAGCTATGGATGAGTGCGACACAACAATGGCGATCATACCAGTCAAAGTGAGAATGAAAGATGGCATTACCATAGTGGAAACCTACGCTTTCTTAGATCCAGGTAGTAGCATATCATTCTGTTCCACCTCACTTATGGAAAAGTTGGGATGTCACGGAAAACCTATGAAGATAACGATTGAAACCATGGGATCTCCTCACACTATGGATACTTTCGAGAGTCATTCAAGGTCTACAAGTATGTGATTTAAATCTTGAGAATGAGATTCAGATGCCAACACTTTATACAAAGGACAATCTTCCGGTGTCAAGGTCACACATACCTACATCAGATGACATATCACAGTATCCACATCTGAGAAACATTGACATACCGCAGTTGGACTGCAGCATAGAGTTACTCATTGGGGAACAATGTACCTGATGCCTACACGCCACAGCAGGTCCGTACCGAGAACAAGGCACACCACATGCTACAAAACCCGTCTCGGATGGATCTTATGGAACGTCGTCAGGAATTCAGAAAGTGAACATGGAAACTGTGGACTAACAGTCATGAGAACAGATGTAATTAAGATAAAGGAAGCAGAGAATATGAGAGAGCTTGACCAGCTTGTGAGACAAAACATGAACATTGAGTTTCCTGAGAAGGGTGTAGAAGATAGAAAAGAAATGTCGCAAGAGGACAAATTGTTCCTGAAGAAAGTAGAAAACTCTGTTGAGATGAAAGATGGTCACTACCACATTCAGCTCCCATTTAGAAATGAGAACATTGAGATGCCGGACAACCATGACTATGCACTGAAAAGATTGAACAGTTTGAGAAAGAAGTTTGAGAAGAATACTCAATTCTACAAAGACTATAGTGAGTTCATGATGAAAGTGGTCAGCAAAGGCTATGCTGAGAAAGTACCTGAAGAGGAATTACAAGGCCCAAAAGGAAAGACTTGGTTTATACCTCATCATGGGGTATACCACCCACGCAAACCAGACAAAATCCGGGTGGTGTTCGATTGTGCGGCGAAATACCAGGGTGTTTCACTAAATGATGTCCTTCTCCAAGGGCCAGATCTCACGAACAATCTTACCGGCGTCCTAATTAAATTTCGCCAAGGCCCAGTTGCTATCATTGGTGACGTGGAAGCCATGTATTACCAGGTAAATGTTCATAAGGAAGACAAAGATTTCCAGAGATTCTATTGGTGGAACAACAGTGACTACAACCAGAAACCAGAAGTCTACAGAATGAGAGTTCACCTATTTGGTACAGTCTCCTCTTCCAGTTGTGCAAGCTATGCATTAAGGAAAACTGCAGAAGACAATCGAGACAGGTTTGAGTCAGACATTGCCAACATGATTAGTGACAACTTCTACGTCGATGACTGCCTTTCCTCCACTGAATCAGATGCTTCTGCCATAGAACAGGTCAAAGGTATCACAGACTTGTGTAGCCAAGGAGGATTTCACATTGCAAAATGGGTCAGTAATAGCCGCAAAGTCATTGAGTCTATCCAAGAAGAGAACAGATCAAGTCATATAAAGAGTCTAGACCTAGAACATGACGACTTGCCATGCGAGCGTGCACTGGGCACATATTGGATTATGGAAGATGACAAGCTCAGCTTCAAGATCCAGGTGAAGAATCATTCAAAGACTAAGAGAGGAATCCTTTTCAGTAACTAGCAGTGTCTATGACCCTTTAGGATTTGCAGCTCCAGTCATTCTTCCTGCTAAACAACTCCTGCAAGCTCTTTGCAAAGAAAAACTATCATGGGATGAGCCCATTCCAAATCAACTGTTGATAAAGTGGGAGAGATGGTTGAACGACTTACCCCAGATTGAGAAACTGAACATTGACCACTGCTACAAGCCACAGAACTTTGGAATTATTACCAATTGTCAGTTACATTTATTCTCGGATGCAAGCGATGCTGGTTATGGAGTCGTTGCATATCTACGTCTTGAGAATGATAAAAATGAAGTTTATTGCTCATTCGTCATGGCCAAGTCCAGGGTTGCCCCACTAGCAAAGGTAACAGTGCCACGAATGGAGTTAACAGCCGCTACCACTGCTGCACGGATGAGCAAACTGATAGAACATGATCTTCAGTACCCTATTGCAGAAACAGTATTTTGGACAGATAGTATGTCGGTCATCCGATATATCAGAAATGAGACGACACGGTTCCACACATTCGTGGCGAACAGAGTCACCACCATCAGAGAAGCTTCGAACCCAGAACAATGGCGTTTTGTCAATACCAAACTCCAACCCAGCAGATATAGCATCAAGGGGAGCAACAATGACTAAATTCCTGTCAAGTGAGATATGGATAAAAGGACCTGAGTTTCTATGGCAACCAGAAAACATGTGGCCGAAAGAAGAAATTCAAACTGAACTTTCGGGTGAAGATCCAGAAATCAAGAAACCAAGAGTTCACTGTGTAGTAAAATCAAGATCAGAAGACCAAACAATGAACAACCTCTTGACATACTTTTCAGATTGGACCAAGTTGAAAAGGGTTACTGCCCACTTCATCATCTTCCGAAACCACCTGAGAAACAAGATAAACATGAGAAAAGGAAGCAAGCCTGTGAAATTGGAGCTGAACATGTCGAGAGACATTCTCGAAGAAGCAGAGAGGTCAGTAATCTCCTATGTACAAAGACAAACTTATGGAGAAGAGATTACTTGCCTGAAACGGAGGAAATCAGATGGGACTGGATTGAAATCCATGCCAAAGACAAGCACTTTGTTCAAGTTGGACCCAATACTTGATGAAGGCATTCTACGTGTTGGCGGCAGACTAGAGAGAGCTCAACTGCAATACAACGCCAAACATCCTGTGATTATCCCAAAAACCTCTCCACTGGCAAGATTGATCCTAGAATATGTCCACAGATTAACTGGTCACTCGGGTAAAACAGCAATGCTAGCTACATTGAGACAGAACTACTGGATCCCAGGTGCATCAGTGCTTTTGAAGAGCATCACGTCAAAGTGCGTGCTGTGCCGGAAATACAAGGCTGTGACCCAGATTCAGAAGATGGCTGACCTGCCGGCAGACCGCCTAATCCCAGGAGATCCTCCCTTTACTAAAGTAGGTATGGACTACATCGGACCGTTCCAAGTCAAACGAGGACGGGCAGCTGTAAAACGGTACGGTGTTATCTTCACATGCCTGACTAGTCGTGCTGTGCACTTGGAAATCGCTCATTCACTAGACACGGACTCCTGCATTAATGCGATTCGGCGATTTGTAGCTAGAAGAGGCCCAGCAAAAGTCATTCTGTCAGACAATGGAACGAATCTTGTTGGCGCTGAGAGAGTAATGAGAGAGGCGATAGAAGA